TGCCATCCAGCCGATTACATTTTTGTTAGTCTCCGACTTCGATGGTGATTTGTTTGGGATTACAGGAATGCGTACCATCCGGAACAAGTTCTAATTTTTAGCAGTCATCTACAAAGGACAGTGTTGTTGCCATCCAGCCGATTAAATTTTTTTTTAGTCTCCGACTTCGATGGTGATTTGTACCGCTGCAGTTCGAAACGATGTTGACGGACTCTTCCTCTGAGTGTGAACGGCGAAAATCATTGATTAGTACTTTGCTCTCTGTATAATCACTCTAATCAGTAATGGAGAACGAACTTGGGAATATCGCAGAACTTTTTGCCCTCCGAGTCGCATTATGAACTACATCGTCGATCCTCTCGTGACCGGAGTGCCATCGCAGTTTTTCAGACGAACTTGGGTTGTCCGCAAGGCTTGGGTTTGACGCAATCGCTTGCCGTTGCACTTCGACAACGTCGATCATCTCCGGATGTTCATCCTTGCCTGCTGAATTTTCAGTCTCCCTTTTCGACATCTGTCGAACGCTTGAATAGTGAGAATCTTCCGCGTGAACTAATGAGTTTTCTGGAAAACTCCACTACTAAGCAAATCTGCGTGATCCTGAATATTTTCAAAAAATATTTGAAAAGCTATGGACAGCATTTCAAAATACCTTAAATCGTTACAGAAATTTTCCTGTAAATCTAAGGAAGCAGAACTTATACCAGAAGAAGGACACATTGTACTCCTAATAAACCAATAATTCAAGAACAAGAACCCACTAAAGAAATTGTAGTGGAAATTGTGTTCAATAATCAGTCAATACAAGCCCCAGAGGTGGTCAAATATGTTCAATTGATGTATTCATCTAATCTTTAGGTATTGACGGAAACCATAAGCCACTAATTCTACAAAACCAATCAATCAACAACTTGGTCCCTCTGGAAATGGAGATCCCACAACAGACCAATTGGAAAAAAACAACCCTTATGTCCCACAGTCAAAACACCTGAAGCAGTATGGGAAAATGTTAGCCCAAAACATTCTTTATCCTCACATCATCTCCAGCTTCTAACCTTTTTGATCCACTATGCAGCAGAAAAGTCAGTTCTGTTGTGGGACATTCATCATATTTGTACTTGCTGAATTACACAGTATAAAAAAATATTAACTTTCATAGTCAATCAATCAAACTTACCTAATTGATTTAAGAACTATTTTGCACTCAACTAAAGGCCCAATACAGTTTAAAATTTGACCAAACAACCCAGCATGTTGATGAGCTTGCTTTGAATCAATACCAGCTTTAAAAGTCCCATCATTTAACCAAATGGGACACTCTCCCAAACTGCCCCTCCCACTTTTAGTTTTTTAGCCCTTCAAGTTGGGGGCAGGTAGGGTGTAAAAAATAATTTTCAATGTTTCCTGAAAATGTGTCAAATTTTCCTTATCTTGATTAGAACTCATTCCTGGGCTGAGCATGCAAAAGTAATAATAAAAACATGTGAAGCACAAAAAATTCACTTTGAAATTACAGTTGAACCTCTCTAAGTGAAATTTCAAGGGACCAGGAAAAAAATTTGACACTGGAATAATGTTGTCAAGATTTAATCTCCTCAGGGAATATCATCATCAGGAATAGTCATTGGATTTTGGCATTTCATTTTTCTGCTAAAATGGAATCAAATTGTCAAACTATTTTTTTCCACTGGAATTGGAACAACCTGGTCTGGCAAAACTGGACTTTCCTCCTAATGTGAATATGGAAAAATCTTGTTGTGTGCAGACTGGCCCTTCCTGGTACAAGCAGGGACTTGGAACAGGGTGAAAAAAAAGTTCATGAGACATGAGTGGAGGAGCACTTCTCCACTCATGTCACAGGGTGCTAAAAATATTTATACAGTACTACTTTTTTAAATCAATGGAGGGAGAAGTTGGGGACATGATGTACAAAAAACCAAATGTCTAAGTCTTCAAAAAAAACTTACCTCAACAAATTAATTTCTAGGTTGTAGACATTGAGGCTCTGTATAACATTTCATATTTCAACATATGGCATACAAAGGAGATAACACAAACACTAAAAGACTTACTCAAAAACTTGACTAGAGGTATGTTCAAAATGATACACTCCATAAAGTCTATATAGAGTATGAAAACCCCATGCACATCCCCTTCACAATAATCAATAATTCTCAAGTTTTTCTTTTCCAGCAAATTATCCTAGAATTCCTGTCCCAAGAGTCTAGTTTTAAGGAAGCAGGGAAGGACTTGATTAAGGACCAGGTAATTCCATTTTTCTCTTGCAGACAATAGTCCAGTTCAGGCAGACTAGGTTGTTCCAGTAATTAAGAACTGAAATTTTTCCATGACCAATGTACAAGATTTACACCATTTTTCTTCAAACAATAATTTTTTGATGACTTGAAGGATTTTAGAGCAGTAAAATAATTTTTTTGATGACTAAGGTTTTGAGCAGTACCATGTTGGGCCAGTTGTGGGGAAAGGGAAGATTTTTTTCACCATGTAATTCCAGGAGAGGCTTGACAAAAATAATCTGATGTTGAAATTACGACATAATTCCACCACCCTGTCCCCAGTTTTTGTTTCTGTGCTGACAAATGATACGTTTAAAATTTTTTTCAGTCCACTGAAAAAAATTTGAAACCTACCATTTTAGTCAGCATGCTTGTGATTCAATGCATAGCATGCTATGAGTTGAATCACAAGCATGCCACTCAATTTGTGAATCTTTTTTTAAATTTTGGAAAGATGTCGTTCTTTTCACTGCTGGGTAATTGCTGCAGCAGTGAAAAGAGACACTGTTTCCGGCGCCCAGGGGCCAGAAACAGTGTCTTGTCTTTGTTCAATGCATCAAATTAAAGCAGCTCTCCTCCCCCAAAAACGCCTGCAATAAAAACATTTCCGGTTCCCCCTTTTGTAAAAAATTTTGACTTAGGGAGGTTTCTGGTTGGACTTTTTCGAGTTAGGGAGGTTTTTTAACATCATTTCCTAAGGGATTGGAAGGGGACTGGGGAAAATTTTGACTTAGGGGGGTTTTCAACTTAGGGAGGTTCGACTTATCAAGGTTGGACTGTAATTTATTCTCAATTTCACCCCTATGCCTAATAAAGACAATTTTTCTGAAATTTGTTAGAAGATGGCCCTAAGCTTTTGAACTTCCTCTAACACCAGGAAAACCTGAACAAATCAATGGGTTCATAGGCTGGGTGATGGTCATAGAGTTTTTTTTTTTTAGCTTTTACAAAAGATTCTGTTCTCTGTAACAACTAGTCGTAATTCCACAATTTTGCCCTCACTTTTGTTCTCTGTTGATTTTTTAGTCTTGCATCTTTGTTTCTCTGATTTGATTGAGATTTCTATTGTGAAAAATTGATTTTGTGCCTTTTTCTCTTTGAAAGCTCTACTTTGGACTTTTCTGTCAAGTTCCCCAGTAGATTGTGTCTTTGATTCATTTCTAAGTTTGGTTTATTCTCTTTAAATTAACCTAATTCATTCTTTGTTTGGTCTTTATCCTACATAAAAAACCTGTGTATTTCATTTGTAAGGAGTTTTAAGTACTGTATAGAGAACTCCGGCTTTTGTTACCCAGTCAAATTTGAACCCGCAACTGTCTAAAATCTTGCAATTAGCGTGGTGACAATATTTAGAGCAGTTCAAATTTCACAGAAAGTATTCTAGCTGAACACTTAGTAACGCCTATAAGAGGCTGAAAAATAATTGGTTGTGAATTTTGTTTTGAATTGCGGGAACTGTTTTGGGAATATATTTTGGGAAAAGTGCTCATAGGTGGACTGACTCTACAATCATCTTTTACATTGTAAAATCCAGACGCAAATGAATGATTATGCTTTTCAATGTACTGTATAGCTAGGTTTTGTATTATTTTTCCACCCGTGGCTATTTTTGATTTTTTTTTCAGCCAAGATCAGGTGCAAGTCTGCGGACTTCTGAAAAAAAAACCCTTTCAGTGGAAAGAGGAATTTGAAAGCTGAGGTCGTGTTTGGTTACCCGGGGGTGGAATGATAATCACAGTGGTTCTCTCTCTCCCCCGTCTTCTTTTTTTTCTCTTAGTTTCTATCATTATTCACCCTTGTATTTTCTTCGATCTTTTGCTTGCACTCCTACGGCGGACTTGAGGCCGATGGCTCGTGGCCGCCAGACTCTTGGGTGACGAGCGGTTTTAGTGAACTTTATAATGGCTCTTACTTGTATTTTCGTGTGAACGACGGTCGATTTCAGGCGTGAAACAAGGTTTGATTTTTCATGATCGAATCTGCTAAATCCGTTGAAAGAGTTCAACGTGGTTGGTGAACTTGGGCATTTTTTGCTTACTGCGACATGCGGATTCGGCGATTATATTCCACTTGCGAGGAAGGGAAGGGGGAGTGACTAACTGTATTTATTTTGGCTCATGTGGGCTACACATGATAATAATGTAATTATTACCATTTTTTGGGGAGACTGCAGTGAAAATGTGTGGTGCGGCCTACACTTGAGAGATTCGCGTATAGGCCGCACTGCAGGTTCACATGCATGCAGTTTGTGCTACAGTCCAACTTGTATTTGTCAAACTTTAAGGGACCATCTGATTTTCATGATCTAGGAAAATAAAAAGGTTCCCAGATTCAACAATCCTTGTTATACCATGAAATCTCCTTACAACAAAGTTTTCCGTACCAGTAAAATAGCTTCGTTATAGCAACAGAAAAAACATCGTTATGATGTACTGCACCTCATTCAACTGTGGCTATTGGAGACGAATTTAAAAAATTACTCTTTTGCCAGCGATTATTCTTTGCAACGAAATTCTACTACTGTATGTTTATTAGAAAAGATTCTGTAGTTTGTTTAGCTATACATCATGAGATAGTACAGGACTGTATTCTTATCTTTTATTTTTCAGTGAAGGGCAACACGAACTGTTGGCAATCAATTGGACATTTCATCTGATGGCGCTAAATCACTCATGGATGGATTTTCGCTATTATTTTGCACTCAGATTATTTGCCGTGAAGTAAGTGATCCAGTGATGGTCGTGTGACGCGAACAGGGTGCTGAATTCGCGCAGTGTTTGTGCTGAACAAGAAAAAATTCAGCAACTCACCCTGTTCGTATCTGAAGAAAAAAAAAGAAAGGTCATCGGATGAAGAGTGGATCCCTTGGGGATGTGACGCTGTTCCGCGCGTTGACGATGAAGCTGGTGTCGCGGTGCGGGCTCCTTTGCGTCCTTCTCGCGCTTTTCGTCACCGTCTTCGTGTATCAAGTGCGAGAGTCGCCGCTTTTGGGCATCGGACGCACCGACGACTTGGCGTCCGTGTACCAACCCATGAAAGTGAATCCGGCGGACTTGAAGCCCAAGCGGCCCGTGCACACGTTGAGCGGCGACGGAGAACCCGAAGAAGAAGCTGGCGCTGATTGTGAGTTATTGTGACTTGCGAGGGTTTTTGTCCCACCTCTGATCATTCGGAAGTAGGTGTGATTGGAAAAATGTAATCATGACGTAGTCCTTGATGTTCTAAGGTTCTGGGATTTTTTTTCCCAAATTAAAAATAACATATTTTTTAAAATTAATTTATACTTGATGATGAGTGAAAACTTGACGGTTGCAGCCCAAGTTCTCCACCCAGATCACAGGGTGCTCAAAAACATGTCGGACCAGCTATAAAATTTTTTTTTGTTCTCGTTTGACCCCATTATCTTTTCTGCGTTTTTTTTATAAAAATTACAGCAGCGAAAAATGCAATATTGCTGCTAGCATGACAAATTTTAGTCCCAGTTGGTCGCGACCTCTAATATATTTATATTAGGTGTGGTTGTAAAGAAAAAATCGTGACAAAGCCCATGATGTTCTAAGGTTCCGGGGTTTTCCTGATTTAGAAAAAAAAAGGTTTTTCAATTTACTGCATCACGATCACTGAAAACTTTCCAGTTACATGTATTTCCACAGTTCTTAACCCATGCACTGAGGGAGCTCTGAAAATGTGTCAGGCTAATTACAAAATCGATTTTTAATTAGTGTAGTACTGTTGATGCGTAACTACTGTAACCGAGGTTAACGCAACCTGAACCTTTTCCGCATTTCAATGCGGAAAAGAAGCAACAACAAAAAAACCTGGCAGAAACAAATTAGGGCCAGAGTACATATTCCCGAGTGCTCGATGAAACAACACGGTCATATTTAAATGAAACGTTGTTTAACGGGGTTTTCGAAAATAACGTAGTTTCTGACGAGTGTATCAGTCTGGAACAATTACAGTTCTCCCAATATCTGCATGAAACATGTGGTGCGAAGTCGCGGAATCAGACCGAGTTTCTCACACAGCAGACGTGGCTCGATCTTACGGGCTTTATACTGGACAGACTCAACGAGGAAAAAAAAAAACCCTTGGATTTGTATTGGACTGTACTACTTTTATTCTATTTGGAATTTTGAATGTCACCAAAAGTAGTTTATATTACACCAGGTATAACTTCACTGCTGTATCCAAATCCAAGCGCATGAAAATTCAAGTACAGTACTGGACAGTCAATATGTCTGCAAAACCTGTTCAAGACGATAAACAAATTTGAATTAACATTCCGCGCAACGGAAAATGGCAGTTTTCCGGAATGTGTCGCCTGTTATACATTTTATTGAGAAAATTACTCGATTTCTACCGCATAGTTTAATTACTTCCAAAGATCTAGAAATGTTACCCCTTATTTCGGAGTACTGTACCGTAGAAATCGCATGCGGAGGAAAGATTATTCCGTAGTTTGAATTATACAAGCTACGAAATTCACTCGCATATGTTTTTGCTTCCAATAGCATGTAGCAAAAGTTATTGTTTAGAAAAAATGGGAGCTAAAGAAATTCAGCATTGGATGTCAAAGGACTAGAATTATTTCTAGTTATTGATTGTTTTGTGAGCAACTCGTTACAAACCCAGGCTCTGAAGTGCGTTTACATGGCCAGGATATACAGTAATGTATTTCGGAAAGGGAAATCTGTGTTCTATTTCGTGACGTTCAGAGTGAAAATGAAGAGTTGAATCACGGAATCTACAGTCAAGCTTCAAGGGGCCGAAAAGCATGAATTAATAAATTCAAAGAGGATTCCAGTGAGAGAAGCAAGCTTGGGGGAAAAAGTTGAGGAAAAGTTACAGGAACTGGTATTTGGTAATTTTCTGGGCCTTGAATTGCTTCTGAAATGAGTTGATGGGATGCTGAACTTGGAGGGAAGGATTTAGTAGTTCAATTTCTTTCAAAACGCATTGTATGGTACCCATTTTATTGCTTTTCTCTTTCTTGTGTGGATACAATAATATCCAAAGAGCCCCTGAAAATTCGAGTCGCCCTGGTTCAAGAGGGAAAACTGTTCCCAGGGAAGTTTAGAAGTTTAGGAAGGTTTAGATTGCCTTTTCTTTCAAGAAACTCGGATACTGATCGAAATATGGGGATGTTCCAGTTGTAGGAATGTTCTAGTTAGTGAACAAGGTTCAACTGTAAATCTTTGGGACATATACGATATACTTTTGATCCTGAAAAGCGTCATTTGGTCATTCTTTAGCATTATTCATTAGTTGAACCTTGATGATTCGAAACAGCCTCAGTCAATTGCATCCCCATAATTTGAATTTTTCCAGTCCCCGCCTGAATTCCGTTAGAAACAATGTATTAAAAATCTCTATAAGTCAAAGGCTTTTCCTTGGAAACTTCAGCAACTCAAATTTGCAATAGGCATTTGTGTCTAATTATGACTTTGACGCAGGAAAGAAAAATCAAATAAATGAGGTTACTTGATGTGTTGCTTTGAAAGTAAGTGAAAGACTCATCAGGCAAATGAACCCCTGACTCCAAGTTCAGCATCATGTCAACTCATTTGAGAAGCAGTTTAAGGCCCAGAATATCATTACCAATTTCTTGCTATTCTCTAATGTTCCCCTACAGCAAAAATGCTTGTTCTCTTTAAATCAAGACCTCCTTGAATCGAAACTTGCCCAAGTCAATTGTTTTGTTTTTTGTATTGGTCCCTTGAAATTCCACTTCGCGAGGTTTGACGACTGTACATTATAGTATCGGCAAGGCTGCTGAAAACGTGGCTTAATGCACTACAGGACATCGTTTTTTTTTCTTCGTTTTTCAGCGGATTATTTATTTAAAATCCGTACAAAAAAATTTGTGTTATTTTTTATTTCAGCGGAAGAGGAAGAGCCGGCTGTGGTTGACCCGAGGTCCAACAATGAAGAGGAAGAAAGTGACGACACCGGCGCCACGACGCAAAGCAGGGCATCTCGGGACAAGATGGCAGCTCAAGATGCAGAAGAAGCCACGGATGACGAGGAAGATTAGTGAGAAAGCATTTGCGTTTCGGTTTCAGAAGATAAACCGTACAGTATTGAGAATATGTGCAGATTTAATGCCCTTCTTTCTTCCTTTTTCTCTCTCAAGCTACCCCGAGATTCATTTGGCCTCCGTGAGCTGTGGGAACAAGAGAGCAACTGGGAACATTGTGACTATGTTGCGAACCATTGCGACCTTCCTGGAATCTGACGAGTATTTCATCTCTGTGCATGTTGTTTGCGACAACGAACATTTGGAAGGCATCCGGCGAGAGGTGAGATGCATCTCCATGTTGGGATTCATTAGGTTCAGCATCACGTGGAATTAATCGTCCACTGGTGCTGAACGTCAATTATGCGTGCTAATTGCCTCTCGACCTCGGCCAAACGGAGGGTCAAACATCAAGAATAAATGACATGGTATTGAAAAAAGTGAATCGAAAAAAATTCAGTAGAACTCCGATCGTCTGGGCTGTAATTAACTGAGCATTGGAAACGAAACTATTTGTTACTCAAATAAATAAAAGACATGAAATTGTAATTGGTGATATTCTGGGCGTTGAATTGCTTTTTAAGTGAGTTGGCAAGGTAGGCTTGGTTTCATTTGGCCAATTACTCTTTCACTTATTTCCAAAACACATTATTCCTTGTGTCAATGAAATCATAGCCTTAATTCTTCCAAGGGAAAACCCTTGAGTTGGGGAGGTTTTCAACGCATTACAGTAATTGTTTCTAAGGGCATTCAAAGAGGGACTTGCAAAAAAATTTGACACAGGGAGGTGTTGGACTTGTAGAGGTTTGAGTTAAGGTTCAACTTTATATATACTGTACTGTCATTGCTTCCTTCAAATATAGATTAATGGTGAACTTCTGGGCCCATCAAAAAATGGTATATGTACTTGATGAATCAGTTGAGATAAGCAAGTATTTCGAAGCGACATCTATCTGTGAAAAGTCATGTTTTAGTTGCAATGTACAGTAACATTATGTACAGTACAGTATAGTGGTAGAATTAACATTTATTTCTGTTTGTAAATTTGATACGGAAATATCAATTCAAAGCTCAATCTTTTGAGGTTTTGTTCAAGAGTGAAGGACACTTCTTTTGTTTTGGAAAAGTTGAGCATCATTGTCATTGCTGATGAATTTGTAAACATTTTAAACATTTCAAGTTTGATTTCACATGAACTACCCAGGTGGCATCGTGGACAGCAGAAATCCTCAAGCGCTTGCATGTTAGCCTCTACTCGACAACGATACCGAAGAACATGACGACCCAGCTTTTCAACAAGATGAACAGCGCCGAGGCCGGGTTTGAGTGTGCTTTCCAAAAACTGTTCTTGAGTGTAAGTATACTGTACTGTACTGTACCTTTGAAGTCATATCTCGAATATCAAGGTGGACATTCAGCAGCCATGGATGTAATTACAGTGCTAGAACGTATATTTACTGCCTCAGTTGAAAGACTTGACCTGCAAATCCCATTTCGTGAAAATTCCATTGAAGCAGTACATTAGTAATGTTCAACTTCCATAATTAAAAACTGGTTTTATTTTATGCGGGTGTTTCAGAAAATCGTCTCCATTTGAAGAAAGAAAAAAAAAATTGTGTACAAAAAATGTAGACGTAATTGTTATTCGTCGGACCTTGTTTAAATGTTGGAACATCCGCGTGTTGGTTCACGTGTCCACCGTACACTTGGATAAGAACATGTTGAATTGGTTCTCCTCCTGGAAAATAATTTAGAAACAGTCCCTCCAAAACTTGAATGAATTTTGCTTCTCAACTTGGAGATACAGTATAAAGAAATTGACGAGCAGAAGAAAGTCACTCAGAATCTGCCATTTTGGCATGAAAAGGTACCAAAAAGGATGAATCGTTTCGATGTTTCGTGCACAAATGATAGTAAACTCAAAATAGGAATAAATAAAAGGACAAAAAATGTTTCTCATTTTGGATCATCATTTGGAGTTATTTATAAAACGCCCTTTATTCATTTTCATGAATAGCTCAATTTTTTCAAGATACTCTTTATGTTAAATTTTATAATGGATACTTCTTTCCAATTCTCCAGCATAAATGATTGCAAAGTTCCCGTCCCTTGAGACATTGTCTGGATGTCTGGCCAGATTTTTGAGGTTCAAGTGTCCCCAAGTCGAATCGTTCATATGTCGGAGCATCTATTATTCAGAGTCCCACTGTATCTAGGTACAGTACATAAGAGGCTTTAAGATTTATCAGAGCAACTTCATTCATGCTATTTTTTTTTGGACCATCATCACTTTTATATGTGGTCTGTTATGTTAAGTGAAAATCGGAGGCAGTTGAATCGCGTCCATTATGCGAGGCACTCGAACTCACCTTTGGAGTCCAATTTTAAATTTTGTTTTACTGTGCAGTTCAACCTCTTTGAGTCCAACTTGAAAAGGGATGTACAAAAAAATAGACTTGTGGAGGTTTTGATTTGAAGAAACAATCATTTCTTTTGGGGCAGGGAATGGTGGTTGGTAATATTCTGTGCCTTATATAGCTTTTTGAATCAGTTGACAGGATGCTCAACTTGGATGAGGCAAGGGTTTTTTTGCCCAAGTTGTCTTTCACTTTCTTTTCGAAACACACCAAGTTACATATCAATTGCTTTTTCTCTCTCCTGTGTCAATAAAATAAGAGCCAAAAGCACTCAATATGTATTGAGTTATGTAGGTTTCAAGGAGGAAGTCCTTGGAGTTGGGGAAGTTTTCAAGGCATTGTTTACAGAGGGGATTCAGACTTGGAAACATTTGACTTGGGGACGAGGTTGGAGTTGTTCAGGTTCAATTGTATTAACCAGCGAATTGCTTCTTGAGGATTCCGTGATGCCTTCCGATTAATGTATTTTCTTGATTGACTTATTTTGCATGCTGTACCTTCAGGAAATTCTTCCACGGTCCGTGAACCACATCATGTACATCGACGCAGACACGCTTTTCTTAACACCCGTCGAAGACGTGTGGAAAGAGATTCACAACGACCTGGAGAAGAAGCATTTCATTGCTGCCGTGAAAGAGTACGAATTGGACGATGTTCCAGACAAACAACTCACCAAACAAATGCAGTATAAGTCGCCGGTTCCTCATTTCGGCAATTCTGGTGAGTCCATTGAAGATTTTTCATAATGCTTTAAACAATTTGCAGTGGGGCCCTGTGCAATGAACCCGTAATCCTATCTTTTAATTGACAGGAAACCAATTTAAAATTTTTCATAGAAAGTCGAGGGTTCAAATGATTGACAGGCTTACAAAACTCAAGTTCCATAAAGTACCTACAACTTCTTACAGATAACTTGCTGAAATGCACAGGTTTTAAAGGTCGATCAATTTTTTTCCCCTGATCGAGTGTTCGGAATGAATCACACATTTTCCTATTGTAACTCGTATTAAAAAAAAAACTCGACCAGGAATATATACAGTGAGACCCCCATATGCGGACATACAGTAATAGGTGCATTGAGGGTGTCCCTAAGTTGAGTCTTGTTTTTTAGACTTACATATTATATAATTTTTAATTGGTGCTTTATGGAAGAAATATTCTTCAGAATTCCATGAAAAAAAAATTTTGCCACTTGAATTTGATGAATATATCTTCAACCCAATAAGAACATTTGGAGCACTGAGTAGTATACTGCTCTACAGTTCATGAAAATGTTGGCATCTGTAAAAATATCATCCAAGTCACAAAGAGAGATGGAAGTCTTTCTGTGCTGTAGGTATTTTTTTTAATTAGCGGAATGGATGGGAAAGTGATGGCAAAAGTACCAAAGAATTTTTCTTGCTTAGATCTTGGGGTTGGAAATATTAGTTTCTTGCAATTAAGCCTAATAAAAGTCAATTTTCCTAAAACATTTTGACAATTTTATCATGAAATGTCCTCATGTTGAGTCAGTGTCCTTATGTCATGCCTTTTTTATGATTTTTATTGAAAAATAAATGTCCCTGTGTCAAATTGTTCCCATGTCAATGTGTCTGAATTTGGGGGGTCTCACTGTAACTGTATAACCAATCAGAAAACCAGCCATTAAAAATGCTCCTAGGAAACGTTGGACACATTGCAAAATACATTTTGAAACAGTTTGGTGCAAGTTGGCTATCTTTACTATGTTTGATGTCCAAAATGTGTATAAACAATTATAGAATATACGGACAACAGCTTTCTTGTGAGTCGTTAGCCAACGTTTCGTTGGTTCTCTTTCTGTGAATACGGTCAGTCTCCATCGGGGGTCCCTCCAGCCTCTCTGGTCAGTCTTTCTTCATCAACCGTGGAGAGTGGTCGCAAGACCCCTTTCCCGGGACTTTACATTGGCACACTCGGAGGACAGGGGCAACATCAGAGTGCCGATACGGTGCTTTGCATTTGCGCCTGATCTTTGGAGTTCCTGCCCAACAAAAATCAACGAGTGACGCAGCTTAAGAGTACTGGTTTATGGTGAATTTATTTTGCAGAACCGAGTATATCAGTTGAGTTAAGATGTTGTTTTTGGACGACGATGATCAAATTCCGTCCCCAATCCCACATGAAGACGTGGGCAGTGAGGGTACAAGTGATGAAAGTGAAATGACCCCAATAGTGGGGAATCAGAGACAACACAACATCACTTTGGAGGAGAGTGACAGCTGCGCTTCTGGCCAAACAGACCCGGAGTCATTAACGGATCATACCCTAAGTAAGTCAACTTGATCCTTAAGTGAACCAAGTGTACCTACACGGTTAAGACCCCCAATGGGTTGGTCAATTCAGAGGCCCGGCTCTTGTTAGTCGTTGGCTGCCAAGAGGGGAAATGTGTGGAATGTCCCCATTTCTCCTATAACCCGGAAATTTCCAGGGGGAAAAAGTTATACTCGACACGAGTTTCAATGGAACCATATGGGTTTCTTCTGTTGTTTACCGCATCTAGTGTCGGAACCAACGCCAAAACGTCCCCGGATCCAGCAACCGGAGGAGTCTGACACGGAGTTTGCAGACCTTGAGGCCGAGCTGTTACCAAAACCAACTGGACCTACACTCAGGGACAGCGTGAAGCGTCACCNATTACCAATGGGTTAAAACAACAACATCCCCCTCTGGCGGCATCATTGAAAGCGGGCCAGTTCACGTGCCAGGTACATGGGGAGCAATTGGTTGACCTGACTGATAAGGCCTTGCTGGACACAGTGGCAACGGCAACAGCACAAGAGGCAATGTTGAGATCGGCCATCAAGGCAGCCCGCGGTTATCCTCAATCCACAATGAGAGGTAATCATAAACATCACGGAAATCGTGGTGGCGGTCATAGTGGCCACCAAGGAGGGGCCAGCAGTGGGGCGCCAAGTGCAAATCGATATCCCCGACATGACAACCCCAGGCCGGGACAGTCTTTTTTAGGGGACGGCCGCAGCAAAAACCACAGGTACCGACCAGCAAGACAACAGGGAGCAACGCGACAACCGCAACAACTCCAACAACAATCGGCGTGGCAACAATCGTCGACACCGTTAGGACTGCCTGCGGCAGTCCCATTGAATGGCTCCCAGGTTAGTTTTCCTTTAGGGGGCCGACTGCGTCATTTTCTGCCCTTCTGGAGAACCCAGGTGACTCAGAACCCGTGGGTTTTGAAATTAATAATGGGGGTAAAGGTAGACTTTGTCTCCTCCCCATCATCTGATTTGTCCAGTTCAAATCCTCGACCAAAGAGTCAAGAAGAGGCCAAGGCAATTTTGGACTTAGTATCCGATCTTTTGCGGGTGGGGGCCATTCGCAAATGCAAGCCCTTGCCTGGTGCGGTGATAAATCCGATTTTTCCTGTAAGAAACCATAATGGTTCTTATCGTCTGATTTTAAATAGCAAAGAGGTGAATGACGCGTGCATAAAGAAGATTCACTTTAAAATGGAGACACTCCAAGTGGTCCTTGATTGCATCCAGCAAGGTGATTGGATGACGTCTATTGATTTAATTAAAGGATTCCACCACGTGGCCCTTCATCCCGAACACCAGAGGTTTTTCATGTTCCAATGGAAGGGGATCTCATTTAAATTTGTCTGTCTCCCTATGGGTATGCGAGAATCACCCCGACTTTTCACGGTCATTTTGAGGGCATTGTTAACAGCACTAAGAAGACGACGGCTACGGGTTTTTTCATATATCGATGACACACTGATAGCAGCGCCCACAAGGACACAGGCGATATCTAATACTCAGGAAGTCAAGTCATTTTTTGAAAGAGCCGGCTTTCTCATTCATGGGGAAAAATCAGCCTTGACTCCGGCGCAAAGAATAAAATTTTTAGGGTTTATAGTCGACTCCAATTCTATGGAAGTCGAACTTCCAGAGACAAAGTGGAAACGTCTTCAGGACGATTTATGGCTCTTGGAACAACATTTGAAAAACAGGAAGCCTATGCAGCTGCGGAAATTTGCACAGATTCTAGGGTTTCTACTCAGCTGCATGCCAGCGATACCCTACGCCCAGGGGCATTTCCGCTTGTTGGAGGGAGCAAAACAATACGCGCTTCGGACAGGGATTAAGTGGGAACAATCCTTCACACTCCCGTTTTCACTGACGGCAGACATTTCTTGGTGGCTAGCCTTGAAACCCCCTCTTCGACGGTCCTTTTGTCGGCGTCCTATCTCCCATACTATCTCTACAGATGCCGCCACTTCCGGCGGCTGGGGAGCCATTTGTGGAAAGTCTCGGGTGGCGGGGCTTTGGAAGGAAGAGGACACCAGCAGAATTGAGCTTCTGGAACTCAAGGCCATCCGTTTGGCGCTAAAAACTCTTCCATTCAATTGGTATAGGGCCAACATTCGATTAAGAGTTGATAATACAGTAGCAATCAGCTACATCAATCGCGCAGGAGGCAAGATAAGATCACTTGATCAGGAGGCCCGTTTATTGTGGAAATTCTTGGAAGATAACGAGGCTACCGCATATGCGACATATATTCCATCAAAAGATAACCCAGCCGACAAACTGACAAGGGAGCTCACAAGAGCAGAAGGCAGGGAATTGGACGCGGAATGGCAATTAAGACCAGAGATATTTGCGGATATTTGCGCAAGGTGGGAATTTTTCCCAGAGATGGACTGGTTCGCCTCAGTGCATAATACTCAACTTCCTAGATTTGTTACGCAATTTTTCACACCAGGGGCNGGTCCCAGTCCAGCGGAGCGTTAGACTGGGACGTGTTAGTAATAGTGGAGTTGGTTCTCTTTATGTGAAACCCCCCCTCTAAGCCTCCCAAGAATTAGTACCTGATTGGACAGCTTGAACAGCTTCGTTGTAAGGTTTCTAAACTTCTGACCAGAGAGGCTGGAGGGACCCCCGATGGAGACTGACCGTATTCACATAAAGAGAACCAACTCCACTATTACTAACACGTCCCAGTCTAACGCTCCGCTGGACTGGGACCCTGTTTTATTTTTTTGTGCAACGTACAGTACCTTGACCGTCATATTTGTATGGAAATAAGTCAGGTAAATTATTTTCGAGTCTTTTTGAAGAAATAATTATACTGTACTGTTTCATTTTTCATCCCCTTCTTATTTTGAATTCCTCACCAGTTCATGTATGCTTTGATCCATATCAACATTGAAACATTTGCTTCACAGTCTGTTCCTAACTTCATGCTTCTTTTGTGGGGTTTTTCGATAACTTTTGCAACACTCTAAACAGAATCAAGTTTTAGTTTATAAAAGTTTTTTTTACAAGGGAATCCGTCAAATTTTTCTCTGGTGAATCCAAAAGATTGTTCTTCCGCCTTCTCTCATTGGAATGAGGATGCTTATGCATTTCTTGTTTTCATTGAAGAGAAATGTCTATTCACGTAAACCATTGTTTCAGATAAGTTCATTTATTTTAGATTACAGTACATGGAAACATGTGGTTGAAATTTGTTCACTTGTTATAGGCTGTTCTTCATCAAGATGAGACAAGCAATTATTTCAAAAAGGCTGTTCTAGAAATAAATTTCACAGATGATGAATCCAGTGCATTTTTGTTTCAACTTCCAACTTTGCACATGGGAACAAGTTGGTTTTGGAACAAGCGCCAGGAAATTCATAAGAAAAAATTTAATTATCAACTACTTATCACAAGTCGTATGAAAAGAGATGCTGAGAAACTGTAAATGACGTTGATGTAATGTGCTTCAAATTTGCCTGATGGCATTTGGATAACACTCATTGTTTTAAATATATTTTTTCAAACCCCCTAGTTATGAAACTAATTCATTAATTGGGTTGTTCTCAGGATTGAACGCGGGTGTTGTGTACATGCGACTGGATGCGCTTAGAGAAACCAATTTTGTTGATACAGTGGTGGAGATTGCCGGATCTTACAGAGATGAGATCAGAAGACCTGACCAGGATGTGCTGAATATCTACTGTGCGCGATTCAAAGGTGGGATTCATATAGACTTCTATCTTTCCTCTAAATAAATAGCAATGATTGCATGCAAGTGTTGCTCCAGTATGATATTTTCAGAGTAAGTGGAATTTAAAAATATATATCATGACATAGCCGGTGATGTTCTAAGAATCTGGGAATTCTTTTTCAGATTTTCTGACAGTTCTGTATTTTGTGTAAAACTTTACAGTTATACAGCCAGAGTTCTCCACTCATGTCACAGGGTGTTGAAAATACTATGCCAGGCCAGCTGAACAAGTGACTTTTTTTTCTTTTTCCCCATAATGTTTTCTGCATGCATTTTCAATTAGAGTTTAAAAAATTGAGAACCTGGCAAATTTTTAAACCCCTGTGACATGGGTGGAGAACTCTGGCTGTAACTGAAAAAATTTCACTTCTGATTATGCAGTAAATTGCAAAACCATTTTAAAAATCTGAAAAAACCCAAACCCTCAACAAAATTTTGGGCTGATTTATTTTTCCTACAATCAAATGAACTCAGAAAATATCAGAGGGACAGCTTCAACTGGGACAGCTTTTGTACAGTATATGCTACTGGTTGTGTAGTGTGTAGCGTCACCCACACCATGCGGAGTTTTTGGCAGGTGAAAAATTGAAAAATGTCCACTCTGGAAAAGCTGGAGGTTCCTGAAGTAGAAATCTCTGAAGCACTCATTTTATCAAGTCCTATGAACTCAAAGCTGGTTTTCACATAAAATCACTTGAAGAATCACACACAGCCTGACTGATGCACAGACTGCAACTTTTAATTATTCTGGTTTTCAATCATTTTATAGATTTCTGAGAAGATGAATTTCAGAATTACTTCCTGGTAAATTTTAAAATTTAAACTCGCTCTGGTTGGCTTATAAAATGGGAATTGAAGATAATGCAGGTTAGCACAGCTGAGGAAAGACAAGACAGGGAAGAGAGGAAGCTGTAATAAAGCAGTTATAATGGAATCCGTTTTTCTGGTTTTTTAGAATTCCAAGACAGTAACTGATGGAATCTTGATCAACACAATCACAGTATTTCGGAGGATGGTGTAAATATCAATTTATAGGTCTGTTTTAAAATCATGGATGCACGAAAAGGTAATGTACCCTTACCTTATTGTATGGCCTTTTGTAATTTTTTTTCAATTCACGCTACAGTATACCAATAAGTATATTGTTACGAAGTACCATTTTTCGTACTCCGAGGAATTCACGCTTCCGCGAGACATTCCTATATTTCCGATTGAGGTGAGATTTTCTCACTGTTGTGTAGTGTGTAGCGTCACCCACACCATGCGGAGTTTTTGGCAGGTGAAAAATTGAAAAATGTCCACTCTGGAAAAGCTGGAGGTTCCTGAAGTAGAAATCTCTGAAGCACTCATTTTATCAAGGCCTATGAACTCAAAGCTGGTTTTCACACAAAATCACTTGAAGAATCACACACACCCTGACTGATGCACAGACTGCAACTTTTAATTATTCTGGTTTTCAATCATTGTTTGGATTTCTCAGAGGATGCATTTCAGAATAAGTACTTCCTGGTAAAATTTTAAAATTGAAACTCTCTCTGGTTGGCTTATAAAATGGGAATTTAAGATAATGCAGGTTAGCACAGCTGAGGAAAGACAAGACAGGGAAGAGAGGAAGCTATAATAAAGCAGTTATAATAGAACCCGTTTTTCTGGTTTTTTAGAATTCCAACACAGTAACTGATAGAATCTTGATCAACAAGATCACAATATTTCCGAGGATGGTGTAAATATCAATTTAAAGGTCTGTTTTAAAATCATGGATGCACGAAAAGGTAATGTACCCTTACCTTATTGTATGGCCTTTTTAAATTTTTTTTTCAATTCACGCTACAGTATATCAATAAGTATATCATTACAACAAAGCTGCACAGGGAACTGGAAAGAAATTTGTTATGCTGAAACATGTGTGATATTGACTGAAATAAAATACTGTACAGTATTGGCTAAGCTTTAGGGAACTTTAAAGAAGTTGTTATGGTATGAACAATAATTTATTGCAATGTTATGATACTCTGTATAAACTTTTCTTCAATTGCCTGGGTAAACAGGTCATACTGTACCTTTCAATACGACCCTAATCCGTTGCCCAACTAGGATTGAATTGTAAATTGGGTAAATTGCTGTCAAATTCAAAATATAAGTACAAAAATGCAAAAAAAAATTGAAAGAGTGGTTAAAATTGCGGGGCTAGGGTAGAATTGCAAGTCAACCTCCCTGCAAATGCCATGGTTGAATTGCAGGAGGTAAAATTGCAAGGTAACACCTGTACATTCTGTAGCCAGCATGTGGAAGCATCAAAGCAAGCATGATCCATGTAATGCTTGGAAATTCAGGCTACCCCAATTGTTGCTTGATACGTCTGAGCAAAAGCTAGGGACACATGCTATCAAGCTACAGTATCACATGCAGTGTAATACAACTGGTCTACGTCGTAATCAGCACAGTATATTAGTAGTGTCAGTGAAAGTATATGCAGCAGTTGTGCCAGATAGATCCAAGAGGATTACACCATCCGTCGGACCTTTTGTCTGCAGTTCCCAATGCGTTTCATTTTGTGCTTTTCAGAAAGGTGCAAGCCATTGAACTGTTCGCTGAATTACCGGCCGGAGACTTGCACTGGGTGTCCGGATGCGAGTGAGAAAGGAATTGCCATTTTGCTTGGCCATAACGGGGTCTTCCACAACCCAACCCCGGACAATACCTACAGGGGATTATACCAAGCGTACCAAAAGGTAAATTGCTCATGACCCAAATTTGAAGATTTTTACTCGCATAGCCCCAATCATTTGGTGAGACTTGAGCGCTGTTCAACTTACTCATCTCCGCCAATTTCTATAATTTTGTCCCATGCAATAAGTCCAACAATCGAAACAGTGCCAGAAATTGAGTTCCTTTAGTTGGTTGAGCTGTTCTCCTTCAATGGCAAAAATGAGGCTGTCCATGTCCTGCTCGGATCATTTCTCACTGCTAGATGCAGCCAAAATCAAAGGGCGACAAAAAAAATAAACGGAACTCGAATTGTTTTTATTTATTTTTTACTTGCAGAATCCTAAATGATGGGATTATATGCAATTGAAAAATTTCTTTGGAGTTTTTGAAACTCTGTTGAATTTATGTCAAAAAGTCTCAAAACTTATGAAACAACCCTAGTACAGTATATTGGCTCCTGTATGTCTACAATATACACTGATGAACAGCTCTGTTGAAGATTTTTTTTTCTTTTAAAGTGTGATTTTACTCCAGCTGCTGGCTAAAGCATTTTTCCTGGTCATGATGATGGATGATGTGCTGAGAAGAGGGTCTTGTAATAAATTTTACCTGTCAATAATGATGACAATCAACACTTGGGAAATGTTTTACACACCTTTTCCGGGCTACAATATACTTCTCAAATAATAAAGGTTCTATGGTGAGTAATTGTTTCAGAAAATATGTGTTTCCTGGAAGGATGTTGATCTTCAATTTCCATGCTTTGAGGTTTCTGTGTTTGTGCCTTTTTCTTCTTTTTTGTTGATTTTGTCTTTGTCAGCAAAGGTTTGAAAAAAATATTTTTTTACAAAAGTATTGGGCTACTTATAGTGACTCTTTTTTGAAGCGTGTGCTTTAAGCTGGCTGCACTATAGAGGTACAAAAAATTGGAGAGTGAAAGACTAATTGGGCAAATGAACCCTTTGCTATACCAAGTTCAGCATTGTGTCCATTTATTACCACGTTTTTCAAGAAACAACTGAAGGCCTAGAAAATCGTTCATTAAAATTTCCTGTAATTCTTTGGTATTTCTCTGGAAAAAAATAGTTTCCCAAACTCGAATTTTTCAGCTGGGCCCTTGTGGCCACTGGATTTACTGTACATTGAGCAGCACTTTGTCACCAAAATATGAGTGTCTCATGACATGTAGATAATATTGCTCTCTACGTTAGCAATCTCTGCCTAGCAACTCGCTGCCCTGAAGCAGATGAGGACATGACCTGTCCTAGATGCATTGTCTGGTTCCTGGTCATTTGCCTGGCCCCCTTTCTGTTACTCTGTTATAGTTGCGCAAGCGAGTCTGGTTTCTTGTGAATCTATAAAAGTACCGCAAAGTGTATGAGTGGATATTCATTGCTGGTCTGACTCTTGTTTGCTGAAGTCTCATCAAAATATACGTACTCACTTATCAAGAAGTCTAGTTTCACTTTACCCTGGCCATAAAGACTAGAATTTTTCTTGACAAAAGGCTTTTCCTGGAAAGTTGAGAGTTTAGATTAATGGTTTAGTAAAGAAAGGCGTTTCTTTCTATGCAAAAGTGTCTTGAATCAATTCTTTCGCCAATTTGGGATAACAACTTATTCTTTCAAGAAATTCAGCAACAGAGAAGGTGTTACTCCCACATAGTGGCCAATTTACGCATCAAATTTCTTGTCTCTCTAGTGCAGCCAGCTTAAAGCATATGCTTCAAAAAAGAGTCACTATAAGTAGCTCAATACTGTGAGACCCCCACATGCGGACACCACAAACTGCAGACAATTCGACATAGGGACATTTATTTTCCCAGAAAAAATTAATAAAAAAGGCCCAACATGAGGACACTGAATAAGGACATTTTGTGATGAAATTGCAAATACATTTCAGGCCAAATTACAAGAAAAAGATATTTCTAACCCTAAAGTTGATGCAAGAAAAGGTCTTGGGCATTTCTCTTGCCATGCATTTAGCTAATTTTAAAAATTACCTCCAGCATAGAGGGACTTCTACTTTTTTTACTTGAATGTTATTTTTGTAGATGCCAACATTTCAATGTACAGTGCAGAGATACACTATTCGATGCTCCAAAGGTTCTTNGAAATCGTTTCAACAAGAATAACTGGGTCTGCTGGCCATCAGCCTCCTGGATGGATGAGGAAGAAATGCCTGTTGTTACCGAGACGGAACGCTGCGTTTGATTTTGCTAAGAAAACGAACAAGTATTGTATTGTGTGCGAGTGCGGCGGGAGGAGGAGGTCGATTCTCGGAAATGTGATATCTATTTCTGATACCTGTTCATGATCACAATTGGGAAATCTCGCGTGAAAATATGCATACAGTATATATTTTTATCAACTGTTATCTACTGTGTCACTTTCTGTTGCTTCTTTTCCTGAGGAAAAAACAAAACCGAACGATGGATTGTGGGGAAAAAGGCGCTAGAGCATTTTTATTCCCTCCGGAGTTTATGATTTGACGGGAAGTGTTGAAAGATATGGAGGTTATAAAATGGTACGTGACGGATAGAAAACTGATTAAACCGGGCAAGTACTGTATACTGCTTCACTCAGAAGAAAGTAAAAGACATTTCGTGGATTAAGATATAAATGTGTTTCGTCAGGCAAAAACATTGTTCTGTTCAATTTATGAGGCAGATCAGATGCGAAATAAAGTCGATAAAACAAGAGGATTGATAAAGAAAAAGAAATTGGTTAATCATGCAATTATGAGGACGTTTGAGGAGCAGGAGGCGCTCCCATAAATTCAGCAACTGCCCTCTTCTATTCCTTTCTTTTCCAGCTGTGACATCTTTATGATTTATTTTATTAGTTCCACAGTTGGCACATTGCTGATCATTTCAGATGTATTTGTCTTCTTAGGTGACATTCTCCACTTCTTTATCTAGCCTTCTTGAAATGAACCTATAAAAATAGCCTTTTGTCAAGCCAAAAGTGGAGAATAGTGTTTTTCAACAGTTTTTTGGGGAACATACAGGTAAAAATTTTGTAACTTTGAACAATATTGAGCATTGAAATTTTAGCATTTATTGTAAAAATTAAATTGGTCAAAATGAGGGAAGGAAATCCCTTCCCTCTTGAGAATCTCTATGCCTGAGGTAATTTTTTTAATTATCTAAATGGATGGGAAAATGAAAACAGATTTCCCAAAAAATGTTTGTTACATAGATCTTACCATCATATGGTTCTCAATACCTGTTTCTTATAATTTGGACTATTTTAATGTCTGCAGGTTGAGTCAGTGTCTGCATGCTATGGTCCTTTTTTAATTGGAAAGAAAGTGTCCGAAATTAAGTTGAATTGTCCGCAGGTCAAGGTGTCTGCATGTGGGAGTCTTACTGTATTTCTACTTCTTGGGTATGCATGCTTCATGTGGCCATATGCATACAATTTGTGCATTATCATGATACAGTACTGTACTGTAATTGAAAGTTTTAAATTAAATATTGCCATAGTGCACAATAAGGATAGAAGTGTTTGATGAAATTTATTAGTTAAATTAATAAATGGATAAATAATTCGTTTATAAATTGAATTTAATTGAAAAAAATTTTATTGGAATTTCTGGGCTAAATTACTTTTAATTCATCATAATTCACAATACATTACATGAAAGGCATTATGCATTATTTGTAGGATCTCATCCATGATTCATAATTGGAGCATATAATTCCTCCTTACTTTGACAACTTTTTTGGGGGTATGACTTTCTCTGATATTCATTGCAATCATATATACTGTATGCTCCTCAAAAATTAAAAAAAATTCATTTCCGAAGCAACTGAAATGAACTTATGTTTGAAAGTGATTCACTTCACAGCTATATTTTACCATTTTTTACTGATGGTTGAGTGATAACAGCTTCATTTATTTTCTTATCCACCTTCTGAAAAAAAATTTTCTAAGAAAATTTTCCCTCCATATACATGCTGTTCCAAATTATAAAAAATGGCTCATATCAATTACAGTATAACCATTTTAAATATTTAGGAAAAAACGTCAGGTCTCTCTCTTCAAGTTTGGCCGCAAAAACAACAGGGTCT